GAGCTGAGAACATCTTCTCGGTGGGTTGAGGCCAAGGTCGTTAAGCGGGGATCTTCCGTGTCGATAACCGGGTGGATCTGGTCTGCTCACTGATTTTGTCTGGTATTAGCAGACCTAGCCCCGCTCCCTTGGCTGCCTTTGGGTTCCACTGAACCGCGGTGCGTGCACATGGGTGCTCATCTGGGGGGTGTGTGTGTGCTCAGCAACGCTTTCAAAAGTGTATTTCACCCCGATCTGGTGGCTTTGTAAGAGAAAGACGCTCAGCAACATCTGATCCGCCACGATTCCAGAAGGGGACGCGCCTGCCGTGTGCAGCGGGTGTGGAGGGAGCCTCTGGGTGTGCGTAGCTCTGTGCACACACCCGCGTGTGAGAGCCTTCGCTGTTTTCCTAGTTCCAGTGTGAGCTGCCCGGGCCCAGGGACTCTCTTCCTCTCCAACCCCTGACGCTGCTCCATGCTTTCTCCTGGGTTCAGAGTGAGCGCTGGGTGCTGCCGCAGCTGACGCCTACTGGCCTGCTGGGCCAGGCCCCTCCTCACTGTCCCGTCCCCCTGTCCCCTCCACAGCTCGGCCCCAGGGGACTGCACCTCCTTCGGCATCAGCGCGTCCCCAGGAGTGGTGGTGGAGGTTGCCCGTGGCCCTCCGACCAAGAAGAACCGCACGGGCTCCTCCAAGTGGCCCCTGGACCCCGAGCTGGAGGTCACCCTGAGGATGAAAGCGGCCAGTGCTGTCACAGGTGACCAGAAGGTGGGTGACAGCGGGGGTGCCGGTGTGGAAGGACGGGGGCGGGGCAGCTCACACCGGGGTCCTCTCCTGGGGGGTGTCCCACCACAGTGTCCCACCACAGTGTCCCCGACACAGCAGTGTCCCCGCACAGAGCAGTGTCGGGCTGCAGGGTCAGGATCAGACTCATCCCTTCAGCCAAAGCTTAAGAGGCACCCACCAGCTGGGGGGCAGCAGCACCTGCTCGTAATCCAGCGACTCAGGAGGCTGGGGCAAGAGGCTCTCAGGTTCAAGACTAGACTCAGCAACTGACAGAGGCCCTGCCCCCAAATAAAAGTAAAAAGGGCTGGGGGTGCGGCTGGGGTAGAGCGCTCCTGAGGGTTTCAGTCCCCAGCACCAGACAACAACCAAACGCTGTGGGGACTGAGGTCTCCCTAGATGATCCAGCCCGACTCCTCAGACCTCGGTCCTCATCAAGGTCTTTGTCACATCTACAAAGACTCCCCCCAAACAAGGCCCTGTTCAGGGGATCCAGGAATTGGAATGTGGCCCTGTCTTTGGGAGGCTGCATTCAACCTACGCCACCCCCCTGACTCTAGATGGTCCCGGCAAGAACCTCTGGGGTTCCCACCGAGATCTGTGTCAACAGTCATTACCTCCTGGGGGGACAAGCCGACCAGGCTCTTCCCTGGGGACAAAGCACTGTCACCTGCTGTAGGAACACAGATCTGTCCGGGAAGATGTGCTCAGGGAAAATATTTCTGGAAGAAGTGTCAAGCTGAGGATGATATAAAAGGCCAGCCGGGGAGCTGGGTGTGGTGGCACACCACTGTAATCCCAGCAACTCGGGAGGCTGAGGCAGGAGGATCACAAATCTGAGGCCAGCCTTAGCAACTCAGCAAGAACCTAAGCAATTTAGCAAGAACCTGTCTCAAAAAATAAAAAGGGCGATGGATATGGCTCCGTGGTAAAGTGCACCTGGTTCAATCCCTGAAATAATAATAATAATAATAATACCAGCCTGAGAGAGGGGAAGAAGCAGGGAGCCCTACCAGGAGGGGTGACCTGTGTGCAAACTGAATGAGAAGAGACTGGGGAGGCCAAGGAAGTCCTTGTGACCGGTGCAGAGGGACAGGGAGCCAGCACAGAGGGTTTGGCAGCAGGAACCCCAGTTTCGGGAAGCAACAGGAAGCCGAAGGGGCGCCTCCAGCCGGGCCCGGGTTCCTGTCTTAGATGACTAGTCGGCAGCCGCCGGCGGGAAAGCTCGGTTCTGGCCCCGATGCCCATCCTCTAACCATCCGATACTGAGGACAAGGCTTCGAGAAAAAGGGAAAAGAGGTCTCCTTGCTTCCCAAGCAAAGGAGAGCACACAGGAGCGCCCACCTGGGGATTCAGGGGCCGCGGGCATCTGCACCCCAGCAGCCGGGACAGTGGGCCGACCTGCCTCCCCGTGGCCAGGGAGGGAGAGAGGGAAAGCCCTGGGAGCGGTCCACAGGCCTCAGCGGAGCAGCGGTCAGCAGGCAAAGCCCGAAGCTGAGAGGCAAGGTCAATGCCAAGGTCCCCATGTGAGGCCACAGCGGCCCAGGCACTGCTCTGGACGCCCTCTGTCCCCTGGGCATCCCTGCAGGAGCCTCTCTGCCCAGGTCCTGAGCTTCCTGGGGTTTCGTCTTGGGAACTCCCCGGCCACTTGCGGGGGTCAGTCCAGATGCCCCGCCCTCCTCTGGCAGCTGGGCCAATCAGACGTGTTCTCCCCAGATTTATTTGGGGGTGGGGGGCGGGTGCTGAACCCAGGGTCTCCACACCCGCGGGCTCCAGCCCTCCTGGGTTTTGAGCCTGGATAAAGGGAGTCCGCGGTCCTCCAGCTCCACAGCACCTGCCCTCTGGAGACCAGCACCCCCACAGCTCCCGCTCCCCAGTCCCCCGGGCGGGGAGGTGGCCTGAAGTCTGTCCTTCCCTTCTGCCAGCCAGAGTCCTTTTCTGGGGCTTGTGACCCACAGTCCCCTTCGAGCGCCTCTTCAGCCCCATCCCCAGCGGCCGCCCCACTCCCCCTCAAGATCTGCTCCCGGGGCACCTGCTCCTGCAGCCCCCCCCCGTGGCCTTCCCCCCAGGCCCAGCCCCTCCATTTCTGGCCTCCCGTGGGACCCTCTTTAGCACCAAGGTCACTGGTGAGCTGAGCTGGCCCACGCAGCGGTCCAGACCCGTCTGGGGAAGGACAGAGAAGTTCCTAATGGTCGGCTGCTGCCCCGCAGGTTCGGATTTCGTACTACAGCCCTAAGACGCCACCTGTCCAGGCCCTGCTGTACCTCACCGGGGTGGGTAAGTGGCCCCAGGCTCCTCCACAGCCTCTGCAGGACACCTCACCTGGGAGGTCACCCCTCAGCCTATTCTAAACATAGGCCAGCAAAAGGGCCATCTCCCGCGCAGCACAGAGGAGCCGCAGAGGGGCGCACCTGGGAGGGCGTGGCGGGCGCTGGAATGACATGGGAATGACGCATTTCTCAAGTTAGGAAGAGGGTGCAGGGATTCTCAGTGCACAGTCCCTGCACCTTTTTGACACCTCGGATATTTATAACAAAAGTGGACCATAATGCTGCGGCTCCATGTTCCCCAAGTGTCATTACTTACAATCCACGTTCGACGTTTTTGGTCTTATCCGCGGTCCATCTCCCCCTCCCATTTATTCAATATTCTTTGTGGAATAAAATCCATTTTCGGGATGGCTTGAGCCCAGGAGTTCAAGGACAACTCGGGCCACAAAGAGAGACCCTGTGTCTAAAGAAAAAGAAAATCCATTTTTCCTTAGTTTGGCTTCATCTTAAACAACGTACATTAAGTTTACAAAGAGCATGTGAAACCTTCCGGTCCCATCTCACCAGCGAATCTTGTTCTCAAATCCACATTTAAACAAGAGAGCACTTCCCGCGCCGCCCGTGTCTAAGACTGGACATTTAAAACTTACAACAGTGTAGTAAGTCAGTACGATCATCGTCCCATTGTACAGGTGAGGAAGCCGAGGCACAGGCGGTAAACAGACCTGTCCAAGGTCACCCATGCAGCCGGGTAGTGAAGGAGTGACGAGGCCCAGACACTCAGGCCTGTATCGTACTGTCCCTGCACTAATGCTGAGGTGTGCACATGTTTAACAGGTCACTGGGACAACCTCAGGTGGGACACGGTCACAGATCACGCTGTGGGCACACGGGTCTACCCTGCTGGAAGGACAGCGTGGTCCTCTGTTCCGCAGGGAGGGAGGATTCCGAATCCACCTGTCTCAGCCACGGCATTGGGCAGAGTAGGGGACTGGGGCTGCGATCTGTCCCTGGTGCAGCGTGGGTGATAAAGAGCAGGTGGAACCGTGTAGCCCGTGTCTGTCACCCGAGGTCACTGAGGGCCGGAGTCCTTGAGAGCCAGGCTGGGTGACCTAGCAGGGCTAAGTGGGGAACACTTACGGGGCGCCTGGGCGTTGTCTCTGAAATCCCTGGGTTTCAGTTCCCTATTGGTGTCACTGTCACGGCCCCTGAAGGACAACAGGACAGTCAGAAGCCTCGGCTCTGCTCTGAGTGTCAGACAGACTTCCTGAGGACATCGGGGGACTGTCCCCTCTGAAGGAGAGGCTCCCCCCGCCTCATAGCAGACGTCTCCTGGGGAAGGGGCCATGCATGGAGGCCAGGCTGAGAGCCCCGACTCCGCACCTCACCCGCCCTCTCCTCTGTCCTGTGGTTTTAGAAATCTCCCTGCAGGCAGACATCACCCGCACGGGCAAGGCCAAGCAGCCGGGCAGAGCCGCCAAAAACCAGGTACCAACCCCAGGGCTGCTTTGGCCCCGCTGGGCTCTGGCGCCTCCTTGTGGCGATAGGGTGAAATGGCAGTCTGTGTCCCGTGTCCCATGTTAACTGGGGGAAAAAAAAGAGAAACATGATTCAGGAAGACAGAAAAGGAGAAAATTAAAATCACCAGCGATATTTTGGCTTGCATGAACCCCATATCTTCATGAGACCAGATTCTTCCTGGCTGGGAGTTCAGATAACGTATTGTCTGGAACCTACAGCCACCCAGGTTTCACGTAGCAGAGGAAAGATGTGTAGGTAGGTCAGAGCCCGCCCCAGGCCTTCATGATGGACAGGAGAGATCCCCACGGGGGCGATAATAGGAAAGGGAGGAAGGGGGGGTGGGCGGCAGCTGCAGGGGCCTGCCATGGTGCGGGAAGATGGGGCGCAGGTGTGTGGCGGGCCCTGAAGACCCTTAACCTGGGGGGGTGTGCATGAGTGCCCTGGGGGTGGGGTGGAGCCCCCTGGTGGGCTCAGACAGAAGCACAGGAAGGGCCGGGCGGTGGTCAGCAGTGGAGCTCTGGCCGGGCAGCATTGAGGGCCTTAAAAACAGGTGGTGGGTTTGCTGCTGAGTGTGGAGAAGAGGGAGCACCCTTAGGTCCCCCAGCCACTCCCGGGTGAAGGGGCAAGGGGCTCCTGCCACTCAGGCTCTGCCCCTTTTGGGGTCCTGTTTAAAAGTCGATGCCTGTATTTAGGGGGGCTCGGTTCTGACGGTGGCTGAAACCCTCTCTCGGGACCCGAGGGCTGCCCCGTGTGGGAGGGACGGCAGCCCAGGAGAGGAGAGGGGGAGGGGCTTCTCCAGGGCCGGGGTCCCTGGGCGCCCTCAGCCTGCTCCTTCCCTTCGGGTGTCCGCAGAGGACCTGGACCTGGGGCCCCCGGGGACAAGGGGCCATCCTGCTGGTGAACTGTGACAGGGACAACCCCAGCTCTTCGGGCATGGACTGCGAGGACGAGGAGGTGCTTGACAGCAAAGGTAAGGCCCCGCGGCCAGCGGCCCTGGGTGTCCTCGGTTAGTGTCCTGTGTCCTTCATAAGCCCTCTGTCCACGTGACCTGAGCCTCAGAAGGGCCTCCGAGAGGCGGTTGCTGGAGGACAAAGGTCCTGGGAGGGTGGTGACCTGCCCAAGGTCACACCGCAGTCCGAGAAGAGCTGGACCAACCGCAAGTCCCTGATGCCTCCCAGAGGCTCCAGGTTCCGTGCCAGCCCCCACCCAACACAGACGTCTACCCTCCTGGGACCCCCAATCGACCAAAATGAAATTGCCCCCAAATCGTATCAGAGTAGCCCCTGAGGTCCCTCCTGTCAGCCGCACACTGCTCTGAGTCGCTCATTCAGTGCTCAGCCCAGAACTTAATGGACGGAGAAACCAAGGCACAGAGAAGTTAAGCAACTTGCCACAGGTCACACAGCTAATAAGTAGCAGACTCAGGATTTGAAGTCCGAGCATCCAGACACCAGGGTAGATTGAGGGACACAAGGACAGGGACAGGCACAGGGTCTCTGCAGGCTCTCCTCAGGGGTGTCCTTATGGGGGGGACACATTCCCCACCTGCCCTGAAAAAGGGCACTAAGGGACAGAGGGTGGCAGCCCAGGACAGCGTTGTGGCCTTGCTGGGGGAGCTACTGGGATTCCTAGACATGGACGCGTTTCAAGTTGTCTGCAGGTCGCCCGAGGCCGGGGGACAGCCTCTGCTCAGTGTCCGGCACATAGTAATAATCAAAGCAGCTGCCACCCGGGCAGTTCTGGGGCACCAGGCATGGTGACAAGCCCCTGACGTGTTCCCCTCATCACCACCGGCTCACGGTGAGGTGCCCTGCTCCTGGGCTGCTGGGGCGCAGGCACCGAAGCGGGAGGAACCCTCCGCACTCACCAGGCCCAGAGCTGAACCCGAGCCAAAAAAAAATGTCATTTAAATGCTGCAAAGAGGTGCAGGCAGGTGCCACCAGGAGGTGGCTTGTGGGCGATCAGCCTCTGGGACAGTGGTCTCAGGCCTCATCCTCCTTCCAGACCTGCAGGACATGTCCCTGGTGACCCTGATCACCAAGACCCCCAAGGACTTCTCCAGCCAGCACCGGCTGGTGCTGCACGTGGCCAAATCCGAGATGGACAAAGTGCGGGTGTTTCAGGCCACGGGTGAGTCTCCCGCCCGCGCTGACCCTGACTCGCCCTCCCATCTTGGCTTCGCTCCTGCCCCCGCCCGCGGAGCACAGAGATCTGTCGAATGATTCCTGAGCAGCTACTGTGTGCCAGGTTCCAAGAACCAGGGACACAGCTCCCCGCAAGACAGACTGTCACTACCTCCCAGATGAGGGGCGCGGACGAGGGACGGACGTGGGAGAGGAGGGCGGGAGGGGGAGCAGCTGGGCAGCAGCCAGGCAGGGCAGGTGCTTGTTGGCTCCTCCTAAGAGCAAGGGCCGCAGCCCTGCCCAGGGGCAGAGCGCTGTTTCTGGGCCTGGGGTTTAGCACGGTTCCGGAGTGTGCTGCTCTGAGGTCACTCAGCCCGAGGGAGACAGGGGTCACCCTGGAGCTAACTGCTAGTTTTGGATTTTGTTTTTTTTAATTGATGCTGTATCCCATATGAACACCTCTGTCTTGGGATAAGGATGAGTTGCTATAGTGTTTTGGGGTTTCTTATGTTTGTGGTGTTTTTTCTTTTTTTGGTACTGAGGATGGACCCCAAGGTCACTTAACCACTGAGTCACATCCCCAGCCCCCTTCTTTTTAAATTTTGAACTTTATTTTATTTACTTTTTATGCGGTGCTGAGGATGGAACCCAGTGCCTCACACATGCTAGGCAAGTGCTCTACCACGGAGCCACAGCCCCAGCCCTTTTTATTTTTTATTTGGTGACAAGTTCTCGCTGAGTTGCTTAGGGCCTCTCTAAGTTGCTGAGGCTGGCCTCAAACCTGGGATCCTCCTGCCTCGGCCTCCAGAGCTGCTGGGATTGCAGGCACGCGCCCCTGTGCCTGCCTGGGTGCCGTGGCTATTAAGAGCACAGGGCGGTGGGAAATGGAACTGAACGCCAATCATGGCAGGTGACAAGTGAGGGCCGCGGGCATTTGCCATTCGATGGCTCTGCACCTTTGGTGGCTTCACGTGAGCACCTGACCCCAGGCTGGTCTGGTTGCTGGGGGATGGGTGAGGCTCCCACCACGCTCCTGACACCCCACAAGCTGCGAGTGGGGGTGGGAGTGGGGGTGGGAGGGCAGAGGGAAACTGACACTGTCTCCTCATGGCTGCCAGGCCACGCGCCGAGACCTAGAGGTGTCTGTCCCCTGTCCCACGGTGGTCCCTCAGCCGGCCTCCCTCCCTCTCAGACACACCCCCCGTGTGTACGGAGTCAGCTGTCAGCCGAGTCCCCATCAGTGCATCCCGCTAACTCCTCCCAGTTCCTGCCACCGGGGAGTGACAGGCTCAGTTCTGGGCACAGGGCGCAGAGCCATGAACACAGCAAAGCCCTCGCCCCGGGTCCCTTTCATCTTAGTGGCCTGGGGGAGATGACGGGGGGGCGGGGGTCCAGTCCACAGGGCGGGGTGGAGCTGGGCGTGGCGTCAGGCCTGGGGGAGGGCAGGCCAGGCACGTGAGGACCCCGAGGTGAGATTGTGCCAGGGCTAAGGAGGGGCTGCTGGGGGGGCAGGGGGATAAGGGGGGGAGGGGCAGGGGGCAAAGGGGAGGGGCCGGGTGGCACGAGCTGGCATTGGCTTCTCCTGGGGGAGGGCCAGGGAGGGGTCTTGCAGGGACACCCCTGGATCCAGCTCCTTCACTTGCAGTCCCAAGTGATCCAGCTGTCACCGGCTTGGTGACACCAGCTTCCTGCCCCTGCCCAGGCCTCACCCCTCTGGGAAGCCCTGGGCCCCTCCGTCACAGGGGCCAAGGCAGCACCTGTCTCCACGGCCTTTGCTCTCCCCTCCCCCACGTGCTCCCTGGGGTTGGGGGACACGGTGACCCTGTCTCCTCAGCCACCGCCTGCCCCACGCCCAGTGTCCGCTGGGACTGGCGGAGCAGTGGCTCAGGAGATGAGTGAGGGCTGGTGTGTGAGAGTGGCCCAGGCCCCTGTGGTGCCCCTCTGTCCCCCGCCCAGGAGCACTGTCCTGGGAGGGGGTTGGGGGCTCCGGGCAGACGTGGGGGTGTGGTGGGGGCCTGGGGAGGCACCGGGACGGGGCCAGGGGAGAGCAGGGTCTGCGCAGGGAGGACCTGAGCCTCCTGCCCTGGCAGGGTGCCAGCTGCCGTCCAGGTTCAAGGTGGTCCTGGGGCCGGGGCAGCCCTGTCACCTGGTGGAGCTCCCGGGCGGCCAGCACAGCAGGGACTTCTACCTGGAGGGCCTCACCTTCCCGGACGCCAGCTTCCCGGGGCTCATCTCCCTGGGCGTCTCGCTGCTGGACACGTCCAACCCGGTAGGCGGAGCCCGGGCCGCGGCCTGGCTGGGGCGGGGGCAGAGCCGGCAGGTGGGGGCCCGGCTGCCGTGACGGCCTCTCCTGTCCCCTCCCCTGCAGGAGCTCCCCGAGGCCCTGGTTTTCCAGGACAGTGTGGCCTTCCGCGTGGCCCCCTGGATCATGACCCCCAACACGCAGCCCCCCCAGGAGGTGTACGTGAGCAGGTGAGGGGCCCTGAGCGCTGGGGCCCGGGGGGCCAGGAGGGGCCCGGGGGGCCAGGAGGGGCCCGAGGTCCGGCTGCAGCATTCGCTGTGAGTGACCCAGGTGGCCTGGCCTTGGGCGGCGGCCTCCCCCAGGGCTGGGCCTCTGTGGAAGGGGTCCCGTTAGTTCCTGCTTCGTGGATTCCTCGAGGGGAGTCCCTGTTCAGGTCACAAGCGTCTCCAGGGCCACTGTGTCGCCTCCCGGCTCCCGCCAGGCCCGACCTCCGGAATCCGGAGCCTGACGCGCGGCTTCTGGAACCTTCCTAGGATCTTTGACAACGAAGACTTCCTGGAGGCAGTGGCCGCCCTGGCCAAGAAAGCCAAGTGCAAACTGACCGTCTGTCCCGAGGAAGAGAACATGCACGACCAGTGGATGCAGGTGAGCGGCCACGTGTCCAGGGACTCCTGGCCTCAGCCGAGCACCTCTCGGGCCACCCGTGGGTGGCGAGGACGGAGCCTACAAAGTCCTTGCACAGAAAGTCCCTGTGGGCGGTGGACACCGCGTTGGCACTCGGGGCCTCCGTGGTAGTGCCCCCCACGCTGCCAGGGGACACTCCGGGGTGCTCCGTCAGCTCAGCACCGAGCCTGACACCAGACCCCTCTCTGCTCCCTGCCGGGCCTTCGGCACCCCCCGCCCCTGGCCCACCTCTGGCCTTGGCCACCCTGCCTTCTGTAGGCCGTCCCCTCCCGTCCCCACGTCCGGAGCCTGCCCACCAAATCCCAGTCAGATGCTGCCCCCGGGTGAGGATTCCCTCTCTTCCTCGTAGTTCCCTAAGTGGCATCCTCTGTCGCCACTGGCCACCACCCTTTATGCGCCCCTCCCCCCACAATGGCGACCAGGTCAGGTCCACCGTGAGTTCCAGCAGCCATGTGTCCTCGGCACCCTGACCACAGTGTCCTTGAGGACTCCAGAGCCCCTCCTTCACCGTGTCCCCAGCCCAGGGTCCACCCCGAGAGGGAGAGGGCTCTGCGGGCTCCGCACGGTGACGGAGCCGTCACAGGACACCAGCTCTGCTTCTCACAGCCCCTTCTCCGCAGTCGGAATCCTCGGGGGAACTTGCCCCTGAGGCCCAGGGCGAGGGCGGGAGGAGGACTCCGTGCCCATCCGGGCACTGGGAATGGACCCCGGCCCGCGCCACGGCTCCTGTCTGTCCCCCCAGGACGAAATGGAGATCGGCTACACCCAGGCCCCACACCAGACGCTGCCCGTGGTCTTCGACTCCCCGAGGGACAGAGGCCTGAAGGACTTCCCCATCCAACGCGTCATGGTACCTGCGTGGGGTGGGCAGGGGGCACAGCTGCCCAAGCCCCTCGCCACGAGGCCCCTGCCCCTCGCCTCTTTCCCGCCGGGCCCTTCCCCGCCCGGGGAGCCCAGCTGCCCACGCAGAGGCCGGCTCCGGCAGGTGGGGCCTGTTTTTTTGTCATTACCATGATACCATCTGGTGGCCTTGCCACCCATGAGGTCAGCTCGTCCTGAGGACCACCCTGCCTGGAGGCCGCCCGGTCCGGCCACCCACCTGCTCTGGCTGCACAGTGTGGGTGGGGCCGGACCCTCCACTGGGTGGGGTCCGATTTCCCGGGGCCCCACTGAGGGAGTTTTCCTAGATGTGACGCCAGCAGCCCACGCTGCCACACGTGGGAGTGGGAAGTGACAGTGCTGATGAGTCAGTGTGTCATTTGTTGCTCGACTGAGCTGGCAGGTTGGTGCCAACTCAGCACAGAATAATAATCAAAAAATAATGACAAGGATCGCATCCATGGAGCCCGAGGCTGGGCCGCACGCGGGGCGGAGCTCTCACGTGCACCGACTCACTTAACTTGTCCACGTTTTCTGGAGAGGATATCGGTCGGCCCGTTTTACAGATGAAGAAACTGAGGCTCGGAGTGGAGCAGTCAGGAGTCAAACCAGGCCCGTCCGGCTCCGAGAGCTGGCCCTTCCCCACCCCAGGCCTGCACTCTGGGCCCCGGCACCCAGAGAAAATGAGGAAGGGGAGTGGGCACGAGGTTGGCCAGGGTGAGGGGAGCAGCCTGCTCCCCCAGGGCAGGAGGGCGGCCCCTCCCACGCCTGAGGCTTTGGAACGGAGCCCGGGTCTCGTCAGCACCTGCCTCCCCTCCCTGGCCGCACCTGCCCTCACTTCCTGGCCGCACCTGCGCTGACCAGTGGAGGCCGCGTCTGCCTGGGCACCCAGTCGAGTGGATCCCATCTCAGGACTGTCGGCAGCCACCAGCCAGCTCCGCTGTGCCAGCGCCCCCTCCTCAGTCCACCCTGCTCAGTGGCCCTCCGTGGCCCTGTCTCCTACTTGGGCACCCAAGAGTGACCACGGCCAGTTCTTCGATGTCATGAACGGAACCTCGGGAGTCCAGCGGACAGACCTCACACGGCCTCTCGCCTCCCCTGCAGACAGCCTTGAGGACGGGGCTGCAGGGCCTCTGGCTAAGCAGATCCCAACCCGAATCACTTGGAGTGAGAAGATCCAGAGCCCAGGTCCAGGCACCACCAGCTGCCGACCTGGCTGTTCCTCCAGCATCACGGCTGGCCTCTCTCTGTCCCCCGCCTGCTCCAGCCCCCCAGGCTCTTCCCGTGCTTCACCTCGGCCACCTCTCCCTCATCTCAGGACCTTTGCACGTGCCAGTCTCTCTGCCAGGAAGGTTCTTCCCTGCTCCGGGGCTGGAATTCACCTCTCAGCCTCAAGCCCTACTCCCTCCTCATCTGAAGGAGACCCCTCCCAACCCCTAGCTCTTGGACTCCAGCCTCTCTTCTCAGCCTCCATTGGGGCAGGGGCGAGCGGCAGGCGTTTGGAGAGCAGGGGGCGCTGGGGATAAAAACATGGGCGTTATCAGCTCGCGGGTGGAATTTCACGGGATGAGCCAGGACCCAGCCAAGAGCCAGTGAAACTGGAGAACACAGGGGACCAAGGACCCGGCTGCTGCTGGTGGCTGTGGCCTGGTGCTCACAGGGACTTTGACCAGAGCAACTGCAAATGATGGCTTTAAAACTCATGGACTCAAAGACCCCAGGAGATGACGCGCCTCCCAGTGGGGGCCCCATGGAGACCCGCCTAGGGACAGTTGATTGGCGGCGGGGAGGGGCTAGGGCTGCAGCCTCTTTGGGGGTGGGACACACTGCTCATGGCTCTCCCATATGTCTGTCCCCCATCTGCAGAGCCTTTTGGTGGCAGGAGGGACGTCACCGGTGTGACTTAGGAAGTTAGGAGCCTGCATTCCTGGATAATGGGGGGGGGGTCCATGTGAACTCAACACTCCTCATGAGAGGGCGAGAGGAGGGGTGGGCGGGGAGGCAGAGACTGAGGGTCTGGCTTGGAGGATGGAGAAGGAGCCACGGCCCAGCCGGCCCCTAGGAGCCGCAGGGGCGAGAAAACAGCCCCTTCCTGCAGAGCCCCGCGGGGGGACAGCCTGCCGGGGGACAGCCTGCCTTGACTAGCCCTCCTGACTGCAGACTCCACCTCCAAACCCCCGGGAGAGCAGCCTGTGTTACTCTAAGCCCCTGACTTGATGGCAAGTGGCTACAGCGCTCCCGAAGCTCGTGCAAGGGGTGAGCGAGGTGTCCCTCCCTCTCTCACGAGGACCCTCGTGGAGACACTGAAGCCACTCTGAGGAGTTCGCTCCAGCCCAAGAGCAGGATGCGCTTGGTGTGGACCCAGGGCACCCATCAGGACAGTTCAAGTTCCATTCCTTCACCCGCTGGATACGGGACCAGAGGAAGCCCATCCCCACTCTGACCTCAGTCTCTTCTTCTGCAAAATACAGATAAAAAGGAAAGTTTGCCGATTGGTCACTACCCCCAGGTGATGGCTCACAAAGCAGCTGCCACGCTCTACGGATGCCGCCAACGCCAGTTCCCTTCCTTACCCCCCCCCCAATGATTCAAACTCCCCGCCACATCCCCCAGGAAGAGCGGCGCCTGCTCTGTACCTGGGGCTGGTGACTGGATCCCTTCCCGTGACCAGGCTCATCCCTAGATCCACTCCCCACAGCCTCTAACTCTTGGCTCTTCTCCCCTCAGGGTCCAGACTTTGGCTACGTGACCCGCAGGCCCCACGCGGAGGAGATCTCCGGGCTGGACTCCTTTGGGAATCTGGAAGTGAGCCCGCCAGTCACCGTCGGGGGGAAGCGGTACCCGCTGGGCAGGATTCTCATCGGGAACAGCGGCTACCCCAGGTAAGAAGGGCAGGGACACCGCGGGGGCCAGGACCCAGGGGCCACGGAAAAGCCAAGGGCAGAGCGGAAGTGTCCCCTGCCCACTCCCAGCCCAGAGGCTGGAGAAACCTTAGGGAGCGAGAGAGTGGGGAGGCTGGGCGAGGAACCAGCTCTGAGCCCCAGACAGCGGTCCAGCTCTGCGGCTCACACCTGTCATGTGCCGGGAGCTGGGGGCGCAGCCGTGGATGACGAGACAGGTCTGTGCCTGTGGGAGACAGGTAATAGTCATCTCAAAAAGTGAGAAAACAGAAAGGGCAGAGAGGAGTGGGCCGGTGAGGGTGGCAGGGAGGCCTCCCTGGAGGAGGCTCTTTGGAGCCGAGTCCTGATGACAAGAAGGACACGGCTGTGGGGACACCTGGGGTAGAACGTCCTGGTGGCTGACAGAGCGCGTGCAAAGGCCTTGTGGCAGGAATGAGCTTGGTGTGTTCAAGAAGGCCAGGGCAGCTGAACAGACTGAGAAAGAGCCAGGGGCTGACTCCCACAGGGCTTGCAGGAGAAGAGAGAAGCTCAGAGAGGTGAAGCCACGTCCCCAATGCTGCACAGCTAATAAGGATCGCCAATTTTGGCTGCACTGGGTTCGAATCCTGTGCTTCCCTATCACACCAGCAGCTGGGATGGTCCCACGGGCAGTGCTAGGCTCCGTGTTAGTGACCCTGTGCCTCGGTTTCCCCTCAGTGAAAGTGGAATGACCATTCCTAAGTCCCTCGGGTGTGAAGGGACATGATAAGGGCCCCCGCTCCCCTCCCCTCACACCCTCCATCCCTGGCTGCAGCAGCGACAGCCGGGAGGTGCACCAGACCCTGCAGGACTTCCTGGGCGCCCAGCGGGTGCAGGCCCCCGTGACGCTCTACTCCGACTGGCTGTTCGTGGGGCACATCGACGAGTTCCTGAGCTTCGTCCCAGCGCCCGACAGGAAGGTAGGGCCCAGGGACTGAGCCGGGCCAAGTCCACAGCCCCAGCAGGCCCTTCCTGCCGGCGGGGACGAGCTGCCCTCCACGTGTTTCCGCCAGGGCTTCCGGCTGCTGCTGGCCAGCCCCAGGTCCTGCTACCGGCTGTTCCAGGAGAAGCAGGAGGAGGGCCACGGGGAGCTGCTGCTGTTCCAAGGGGTCAAGAGTAAGTGGCCGTCCCCTGCTGCCATCACATGGCCTTCTACTGCCGGGGGGACCCCCAGGCACAGACCTGTTCTGAGCACCTACTGTGCACACCGGGCACTGAGTGCTGGGGACGCCCGTGGACAGAGCAGAGGGCCCCGGGGCTGTCTGGTGGGGCCCCGGGAGGGCTCCCTGGAGGAGGCGAGAGCTGGCAGGGGGACGAGGTGGAGGGAGATGCGCCACCGGGAACAGAACGTGCAAAGGCCCAGAGGCAGGAGAGAGCAAGATGCGTCCGAGGACCTGAGACGTTCAGCACCTCTGAGCACAGGAAGAGACTGGATTTCTTCAATAGACCCCGCCAACGTGGGCCGGGTCAGAGGCTGAGAGAGCTCGGCAGAACCGGCTCTTTTTTTTTCCTGTTTTTGGAGTGCTGAGGACGGAACCCAGGGCCTTGTCCTGGGTCCCAGGCTCTGTCACTGCCCACACCCTGGCCTGCTTCCTCCTCTCCAAGGGGGATCTCCGGAGACCGGGGATCTCAGGCGGTGGGAGGCGCGGTCTCAGGGATCCGTCCCACGCTGTCCCCGTGTCTGTGACAGACCGTCCCTCACAGGCTCAGAGCAGACCTGCCTGCGGGGGACTGTGGCTGTCCCCGTTTCACAGACGGGAACACTGAGTCCCCGCGGCCCGTGACAGGAGGAGCGTCGACCTCTGACTCAGTTTTTCCCCTTTTTTCTCCGTGACAGAAAAAAAGCAGCAGAAGATAAAGGACATTCTGTCCAACAAGAAGCTGAGGGAACACAACTCCTACGTGGAGGTGCGGAGTCCGGCCCGAGCTGCCCCCCAGCTGCCCCCCCGAGCTGCCCCCCGAGGTGCCCCCCAGCTGCCCTGCCCGCCCCCAGGCAGAAGGCAGGGCCCACAGGCCGCGAGGCCCTGGGGACCCTGAGGGCGCTGGCTGGTGACTCTCCATGCAGGGAGCCCCGGGGCCACCAGTCACCTTCCTGCCCCCCCTCCGGCCCGGCCTTGGGTCTGGGGGCCTCGACCCCATGCTCCCCTCCCCCTCCGACGGCCACCTCCCCTCCCCCCAGAGCTGCATCGACTGGAACCGCGAGGTGCTGAAGCGGGAGCTGGGGCTGGCCGAGGGGGACATCGTGGACGTGCCGCAGCTCTTCAGGCTTGTGAAGAACAACAGAGGGATCCCCAAGGCCGAAGCCTTCTTCCCAAACATGGTGAGGGGCGGGTCCCCAGGCTCAGGGGTTGCGTGGCCCTGGGTAGCTCGCAGAGCCCCTCCGGCCTCTCAGGACAGTGCTGCGACCTGCCGATGAGGCACAGAGAGGTGGGGTCTCTGGCACCAGGACACACAGCTGGCAGGAGAGGGAGAGGGAGGTGGAGCCACTGTCCCTAGGTCCCCTGCAGGGCTCAGGGGAGGGGCAGGGTCAAGCTCCCAGTTTCTTCAGTGCCACGAAGGGGACCCAGGTGGAACGGCACCTTCGGCTGGGCTCTGGCTGCCGCCCGGGCCGAGACTGGACCCTGTTTCTGAAGGGCGGGCAAGACCCCCAGCACATCCTGGCACCACCCCCCGCCTGTGGTCCCCCTCATCAAAGGATGCCCCAGGGCCAGATGGAGGCTGCACCAGGGTCTCCTGGCGCCGGGGCCGGTTCAGGAGGAGCCAGCGGACCTCACGGAGGTTTGCAAACTGGTTCCCCGGGGCCCTGGGTGCCCAGGCAGGGGCTGACGTCTGAGGGTCCTGGTGGCCCCTGCTTTGTGCGCGGAGGCTCTGCAGAGGGTTCTGCTGGGAAGGACGCGTTCCCAGGCCCAGAGGGGGCTGGGGCTGGGGGAGCCCCTCTTTCCCGAGCCCTGGCCCTGGGTTTCCTCTCCCGCCTGTCGGAGCCCGGCTTCCTGCTGCGGGAAGGAGCGCAGCAGCCCCTGGGGACGGTGCCAGGCGTCTCGGGGAAGGGATGGGCCGCGGGTGGCAGGCCCCTGGGGGAGCAGGAACCAGCCGGCACAGGCTCCCAGAGCCCCTGGAGAGAGGCGGGGTGGCGGGCACCACAGGCCGAGAGACAGCCACCGAGGCCCTGGCGTGGCCGAGAGAGGGAGGCGCCCTCTCCAGGAGGCTGACTGTGCGCCCGCCTCGGGCCCAGTACGCATTTGGGCTCCTTTGCTTGATGTGGCTCAGAAAGGTGAAGTGGCCCACGCAAGGTGACACAGCTATGGAGGAGTGGCGCTGGAACCCACACTCACGTTGGCCCCAAGTCCAGGCCACCTCCCGGTGCCATCGACAGATGTCATGCTACTAGAAAGGGCTCCCAGGCCTCGGCATCCCACGGTGCGCCAGGCACCGACCCGGATGGGAGGGACGGACTGCAGGAGCCCAGGGGTGTGGGGCCCAGGGGGCGTGTCAGCGCTGGGCCTTGGTGACAGAGTTTGCAGACGGTAGCCGAGGGAGGACAGCACAGTGTGAGGAGCTCGGCCCTGGAGTCCCGCAGGACCCTGAGCCAGCCCTGGCCTGGCCGGTGGCCTTAGGCCACCTAGTGTCCCTGTCTGGACCTCGGTTCCTCGCCTGTGAAGTGTGGAGGGAGGGGACACGGGCGTGGCCCTCACCTGGACCCCCCCCCCCCCGCAGGTGAACATGCTGGTGCTGGGGAAGCACCTGGGCATCCCCAAGCCCTTCGGGCCAGTCATCAATGGCCGCTGCTGCCTGGAGGAGCAGGTGCGCGCCCTGCTGGAGCCGCTGGGCCTGCACTGCACCTTCATCGACGACTTCTACACCTACCACGTGCGCCACGGCGAGGTGCACTGCGGCACCAACGTGCGCCGGAAGCCCTTCTCCTTCAAGTGGTGGCACATGGTGCCCTGAGCCTCCCCACCCGCCAGCCTCTCCCCTGGTGGCCTCCCCTGGTGGCCTCCCCTGGAAGAACCTCCCAGCCAGGGGTGGCTGGTCCCCTCCCCCACCCCGTGTGTTGCAGCCAGGGCTCTTGGGGATGGCCAGGTTCCCCAGGGGTGGCCAGTCTCCCCAGCAGTGCCTCGTGGCCTCGCCCTGGGCCCCTCTCCATGTTCCAAGATGGCTCCAGCGCCCCCAGCTCAGCTCTGAGAAGCCGCGAGTGGGATCCCTTTGGCGGCCACGCTTTGCCAACACCCACGCTCTCCCGTGGCTCGCTCGTTCCTTCCTCTGTCAGGTGGAACTGACGGCTACAGATTCAAAAGTGCCACCAGGAGGAGCTGAGGCCGAGGTCACCGTGTGTCCTGGCTCCCAGGCCTGTCCCAGCCTGTAGAACCTCGAGTCGCCCTGAGCTTCCCGCAGAACCGGGAAGGGGGAGGGGAGAGGGCACCCGGAACCCAGGGCCCGCAGTCACGGGCAGCTCCTGGGCCGGCGGGTGTTCCTTTGGTCATTTGAGGAGTGTGTGTGAAATACATCTCTCTGGATGTGAGTCTCGTTGCAAAACATGGAATTAAAAACAAATAGGATTAAGGGCCGGAGGAGCAGGTCCAGAGCAGGAGGCCAAGTGTGTGGCCTCCGGTTTCTCAGGAGACGCCGCAGGGTGGGGTCCACTCCGAGAGCCCGTGGGCCCGAGAATGCCATCTCCCTTCGCGTCGGAATGTCCATTGGGGAAAAGGTGGCAGATCACGCAAGAACCGAGGGCGTGGAATGTCACCGCTGGGTCCCATGCGCTCCAGTGTCAGGGCGTGTGGTCCGTCCACTCTTCTGGGTTTGCCGGTGTCCCACTGGCCACCTGGACCCGGGCAGGTACACACCAGGAGCGACGGTTTCTGTGGGATGGAGTCTAAGTGCCAACACGGTGCTCAGAGTCTCAGGTTTGGGGATGAGGGACACTTCACTGGTCACGTCCACGTAAATATTCCGACCTCTAAAAACGGCCCTGGAATATGAACCGCTGCTGGCCCCAGACACCCTGGGTGGGGGACGCCCAACTTGTAACCCATCTCCGTGGTCTTGTATTGTTTTCTTATAGCTTTGACATCAGGATTCCTGTTCTTCTGCTGAAAATAAAAACCTGAAAATCGAGAGCAGCGTGTGGCTTCCCTAGAGTCCGAGAAACCCAGGAAACACCCAGACGCCGCCGCGTTTCCGTGGCGGACGTGAGATGGAAAGGACAGACTCTGAGAGTCCGGGCGGGGGCTGGGGCGTGGCTCGTGGTCAAGCTCACGTGGGTGAGCGGCCCTGGGTTCGATTCTCAGCACCGCATAACAGTAAACGGATAAAACGAAGGTCCGTCAACAACTGAAAGAAATATTTTAAAAAGGCAAGCCAAAAAAATTAAATAAGTAAACAAAATTGTTGCCTGGCACAGTGGCCCATGCCGCAACCCCAGCGACTGGGGAGGCAGGCGGATCGCAAGTTCAAAGCCAGCCTCAGCAAAAGTGAGGCGCTAAGCCACTCAGGGAGACCCT